AAGCCAAATAAACTTCTGAATTTCTTTTGAATTGAAATGCATTACCTGATGAATATGCCATTCATTTTTCTTAAAACTCAAATATTGAATACCTAATCTTTCTAAACTAAAAGGTTGGGGACCTGTTTAAAAGAAAGAAAAAGGGATCAACATGCTGGTGATAAGGTTAAAAACTATTTACAATCTCTTCCTTACATTTTTGAGGCTCTTAGACATGATGATGGGAAATGGTTAAAACTTCAGATCTGCACGCCTCGTTTAAAGCTCTATAAGGAGTGTGTAATTAATCCCTACTCAAAGCAGGTTATTAATACAAATTAATAAAAGATACGATTTCTATAACAACTGAAATTCTTATAGTTGAATCAATATATTCTAGGGTTGACTACTGAGGCTAACAAAAAATTCTGTAATTTAACCCCTTTTTTCCTTTCCCCTTTCCTCTTCTTTCATTTCACATTCACAGCCCTGGCAGCACACATTTGAGAGGAGCAGAATGTTAACACAGAAAGATACAGTACAAACAGCCTCTTAGAGCTCTGAGATCTATGGTCCATGGTTGTCCCATAGAACCATCTAGACTTTTTTGTTACAATTTTTTATTTGATCTTTTTGTCCCCTGTCTAGCTTTCAAATCTTATATAATTCTAAATATCCTTTTGTTTTAATATATTCATATGCCATTATTTTCCTTTGTTAATACTGAGGTAAAATTTACATACAATAAAATTCACAGATCTTAAGTAAAGCACAATTCAATAAGTTCTGATAAGCTGTGTCAGCAACCCCCTAATTAAAATATAGAAGTTCCATCACCCCAGAAAATTGCTTTGCACCACCTGACTTGTCTCCATCTTGGGAGAAAAGCATTCAATATTTCTGCATTATGTAAGATATTAGCTATATTGTTTTGTAGATGTCCTTTATCAGGCTGGGGAAGCTCCCTTTATTTTTAATTTACTGATCATTTTTATCAGGAATAGCTGTTGAATTCTGTGAAATACTTTCTTGTATTTGACTTGAAACTATCATGTTTCCACTCCCCTTTATTCTATAAATATGTGCAATTAAATTGATTCTCAGATGCTAAACCAACCTTCCATTCCTAAGGGTAAACCCCATTTGATCACCATGTATTATCCTTTTTTATATATTGCTGGATTTGATTTATTAATAGTTATTAAGGATTTTGATGTCATGGGGGATATTTACCTGTAATTTCTTTTCTTGTAATACCTTTGTTAGGTTTTGGTATCAGAGTTATGCTGGGTTCATAAATCAAGTTGGGAAGTATTTCTCCTTGTTCATTTTGAGTTAAGACTGGTATTATTTGATAGAGATCTGGAGGTTTTTGTTTTCTGGGTTTTTTTGATGGGAAGATTATTGCTAACATCCAATTTATTCAGTAGGTGTAGTGGTATTCACATTTTCTATTTCTTCTTGTATCAGTTTTGGTATATTGTGTTTTTCAAGGAATTTGTCCATTTCATCTATATTGTTAAATTTATTTGCCTAAAGTTGCTCATAATCTTCCACTCTTATCTTTTATGTGTGTAAGCTCTGTGGTAACATTCCTTCTTATTTCTGACATGGGTAATTTGTGTTTCTCACGTCTTCTTTATCAGTCCCGCTTGGGGTTTAAACAATTCATTTCAAAGAATCAACTACTGGCTTTGTTAATTTTCTCTACTGTTTGTCTCCTTGTTGTTTCTTTCCTTCTAGTGACTTTGGGTTTAAATTGTACCTTTTAATAATTTCTTCACGTGAAAGCTTGTATCATTAGCTTTAAGCCTTTCTTATCTCCTAAAACAAGCACTTAAAACCCTACATTTCCTTTCAGGAACTGCTTTAGTGGAAATCAACAAATATTGATATGTTGTGTTTTTATTACTATCCAGTTCAAAATATTTTCTAATTTCCTGTATGATTTATTCTTTGATCCAGGAGCTATTCAATTGTCAAATTTCAATACTAAGGGTTCAATTTTCAAATACTTAGGGCTTTTCTAGTTTAATCCCATTGTAGGCAGAGACATACTCTATAAAAACACTGATCAACAGATTAATGAGTCTGTAGCTTAGTTGTCTCGATGGCATCCATCCTTCTTTTATTATTTCACTATACTTTATG